AGTCGTTCTTCGGCCGGACCTACAACAACATCCCGTCGCCCAACGAGTGCAAGAACAGCGGCCGCTGCGTGATCAACAAGAAGACGCGGACCTCGTGCAAGAGCTGCCGGCTGCGGAAGTGCCTGCGGGTGGGCATGTCGAAGAGCGGCTCTCGCTACGGCCGCCGCTCCAACTGGTTCAAGATCCACTACCTGATGCAGAACAACAGCTCGGCCACGTCCTCGGCCGACGACCCCGCGGCGAGCGAGGCCAGCGCCCCCACGGCCACCAGCACGACCACGTCCCCGGGCCTCATCAGCCCCTCGTCGGAGAGCATGGCGCTCAGTCCGGACCTGAAGGACTTCAAGGACTTCAAGGACTTCAAGCTCAGCCCCGACTTCAAGCTGAACTCCGACTTCAAGGCCGTGCTGGAGTGCAAGGGCCTGAACTCGCCCTCGTCCTCGGAGTCGCACAACTCCGACTCGTCGCTGGACCTGAGCGAGAAGTCGCTGTTCCCGCCCTACTCCGAGCACCTGTACCCGAAGGACCTCCTGGCGCTGTACAACCTGCCGACGCTGACGCCCCGCCTCCCGCCCTACGTGGCGCCCACCACCCTCGCTCACCGCTACCTCTACCCCTACTACCCGTTCCTCTCCGTCTACTCCCGCAAGCAGTACTTGGACACCCTGATGCAGGAGGCCCGGCAGCGGGGGGTCGCCACGCCCGTCGACGGCGAGGACGAGCCCGGCGACGGCGGCTCGCCCCCGCCCGCGACTTCGCGCCGCCGCCAAGTTCTTCAAGCCCAACCCCTCGCCGACGCACGACCTCAAGCTGCCGGTGCGGGAGCCCCCGAGCCTCGCTCAGGTCCGCAACCTGCTGCCCTTCCGCCAGAACCTGCTGGTGCGGGACATCCTCAGCTCGGGGCGCAACCCGGGCCACGACCTGTCGCCCAGAGGAAGCCCCGACCTGCTGACCGTCGGCGCCACGGCCCCGCAGGACCTGCCCATCGACCTGAGCGTCAAGAACAAGTCGCCGTCGCCGCCGCGGCCCGTGTCCGTCGGCGAGCGCTCGGCCTCCAGCTCGCCCCGGGGCGCGCAGGAGGGCGGCAGAGAGAGCAAGGAGGCCGCCGAGGGCCCGGCAGGCAGGAGGAAGGAGGAGCAGGACGCGCCGCTCGATCTCAGCGCCGCGAGGACGGGGTAGCGGGCGCCAGGGACCGCCGCCCCGCCGTGCTACAGGTGCCAAGAGGAAGGAAACGCAGGGCCGCTCGCAGGTGCCACCCGACGATGCCACTCCCACTCAGAGCCCCCGTCCGCCGGGTGCCCCGCCCCCTGCGCCCCTCCACGAAGCGGAAGGACTTCAGCGCGAAAGAACGCAACGCAGCTGCGGAAGTTCCCTCGGACAGATCCGTACACATATACAGTATAAATATATAGATATATTTCCTCCCGCAACCCGCGCCACTCCGCCGAGGAAGGCGTCGAGGCCGAGCGGAGCGCCCGGGTGGATCCTTCGCGAGCCGTTCCTTCCTTCCTTCCTTCCTTCCTTCCTTCCTTCCTTCCTTCCTTCCTTCCTTCCTTCCTTTCCTTCCCTTCCTTCCTTCCCCGGGTCGACTCTTCCGCCGCGCTCTCCTTCCATCAACTCTCTCAACGGACGATATCATTTTGGTAGTAATTCCTAAAAAGTGCCATCGAAAGTACAAGTTCTTCCGTTTTAAATAACTTTTTATTTTCCTCGTTGTCGACTGTACAGTATTTTGAATAGTTTTTTTGTTATTTCTTATGAACCAGTGTTTATTTTCCTAAGAGACATATCTCCTGTTTCTTTATACCCGCTCTCCCTTCACACACAAACTTCCCTCCTTACATTAGTCAACGGAGGGACACGAAACCCGTTCGAATCCATGGACGAAACCCGTTCGAATCCATGGACGAAACCCGTTCGAATCCATGGACGAAACCCGTTCGAATCCATGGACGAAACTCGAAGTGAATCTGAACGAACCAGAAGGATTTATCATTCCCCCCCCAAAATCGATTTTCCATAAGGAGGAAAATGGAATTAAAACAAACAAGGAGAAAAGAAGAAGAAAAAATAGAAATGCAGTAATAAACGTTTGATTTTATGACTCCTATTTTTGGAAAGAGATTGAAAGAAAATGAAAGAAGAGAAAAAAAATCATTGATATATACATTACGCACAAAACTTGAAACGAGGTCTTTCAAACACTTTCTGCAATCTGTATCCGATAATGAAACGACACATACAGTTTGCAAGATAGTACTAGCGATAGGCCTACATCTGTGTACGTGGAATTCTATAGGTTTATATTGATGAGCAGACCTTGAAAGCGTCACGACACCAAACCTGTTCAATTTCCCTTACGCTAAATGCAAAAAAAAAACGACTATGATCATTCTATTTTCTCTTTTTTTTCCTCCTTTTTCGTCATAAAATCTTTCACTTTCTTCAAGGTTTGGGTTAGTCACGCAAGGTCCATAAAGCCCGTGTCCATATTAGCAGA